ATAAAATTTTGCGAAATTATGTGATATTTTATTATATAAAAGTAAAAAAAATTATAAAATCAATTATTCTGATTAAAATATATTATATTTAGTTATTTAAGTGATTCTTTAGATAAATTTTGATGGTCCCTATTTAATAAGGTATTATATGGGTTGATTGCTAGGAAAATCAGATTCTGGAAATTTTTTAATAAAATTGAGATTTTTATTGTATTTTAGTTCTTGATGTTATTAGATTAAAATGCATTAAGCTCTTAATTTTAGTCAAAATTTCTTAGAACCTAATTTTTCCAGAAACCCTCCTATATAAGAAAAAACTATGTTCAACAGCACAGCTAAATATAGGTAACTAAATATAATCAAGTACTATTTAAGAAATAATTAGTAAATGATTTACCATATTATTTTAATAAGTTTTTAAATCATTTTCATTTAAATTTTCATTATATTCCAACCCACAGTAAATACCTTATTCACATATTAAATTATTTGAAGAATTATTAAATTTATTAATAACTGCATATTGATACATATTATATTATTAATAATTTCCCATATAAATATATTTAGAATTATAAAGACAGGTTGCACAAAATAAAGAATGCATAGAATGATTTAGAATATGCAATTTAAATTTGTTATACATGGCTTAAAAAGTGGCTTGAAAAATAGGATAAAAATCTTGAGGATTAAATAAGATGTGTGTCATAATTTCATTAAGATTCATACCAAAATGAGTAGTGATCTGATTTGATTTAAGATAAGCTGTAAGATTTTCAAACTGTATTTCAACAAATAGAAAAACAGGTTTATTTTGTTACTAAAAAAAATCTAAGTCTTAATTAAACAAATGCTTTAACATAAATTGAAATAAAGTTGATATAAATTATAATAATTTCTAATTGTACTGTATTTTGTAAAATTGAATGAATTTCACCTATAGTTTTATGTCTTAGATCATTTTCATATTCTTTCTTATAAATCTGATCAAAATTAAAAGTATTCCTTAATATAAAACACTATTTTAAACTAGCTATTCTACTGAGTTTTATTTGGTAATAGAATTTTATATAGTGATGCAATTCCATTTATACACAAATGAGTTATATATTAACTTTTTCTTACAGAAGATTTGATAAAAGTATTCTTAATTTTAGCCAAAAAAGTTTTTAAAAGTGAAAATGATGAAAAATCCCATTAAGTTTCACTATTTTAAATATAATTAATATATTAATACTTTATATAATTATAATAAATAATAATTTTATTTTAACTTATCCAATAAAATTTAATATATGCACAAGATATGGTAAATGTAACAATTACGACATAAGTGGTTTTAAGACATCATGGTAATACTTTTTCATATATGCCGCAGAATTAAAAAGAAATAAATGTGGAAGATTTAAAGGTATATTATAAGAATGTAATGTAGGAAGAAGTGTTTGTACAATTATTGTATTATTTACTTATTCTAAAAAATCAACTGAAACTAATTTTGTATATGAATGATATATAAAAAGAGTATTAACTACACTTTACTCACAATCATTACTGCTCTTATCTATAATAATACAAATAGGTTTAAAATTAAAAATTAATTTTAAAGTATCAATATGTTTATTAAAAATATTAGATAAATAAATTTGACGCAAAGTTGATACTTGAGGAATTGCTCTTTCTTCTTTAAGGTATTTTTTAAAAAGGGAAAGTAAAAAATTAATTTTTTCTAGTAGAATATCTACACCTGCAAATGATTGAATTAAATCTTCTATTATTTTTCCTTTAGAATTAGCTGCAAGCAAAGTTATTTTAAAGTTCGTTAGTTTTTTTTTTGGTTATTTTCATAATTTCTTTTTTATGTCAGATGTTTTTTTTCTATTTAGTAAGCATTTACAGTTGATTTATGTTTCTATTTTATGGAAAAATTACAATAATTACAAAATAAAGAACCATTATCAACATGAAAAACACTAGGATTTTCTTCAACTTGTGTATAAATTATTATTGTTTTACACTTTTTAAAAGACATTTAAAAATTTTTTGATTTTGATACAAGATTAAATATTTTCTTTTTACAAGTAAAAAAAAGTTAAAAATACATATTTTTAAGGAGAAATTAAAATACAGAATAAAATCATAATATAAAATTTTATTTTTTAATAAAAATACATATTAATTTAAAATTTTTGTGACATTACATAAAACATAGAAAAATTTTGTGTAATTTTGTGATGATTAAGTGAATTATTAGTATTTATCACATAATTTTGTGAAATATGTGATATTTTGTGAAATATCAAATATCATTATCCTTGCTATAAGCTTTCATCAAAAGCATTGTTTTGTAAATATATATAATTAATATTTGCATTTTTTTGCTAAATTTTTTAAGATTATTATAAAATATTTTGGTATAGAAAATTCTGATAACTCTTTATAAAAGAGCAACACTTCAAATTTGAAAAAAAAGTCAGCAACAAACTAACTTTTCTTTATTTTTTAATAAGTTTTATAATTAGAGAAGATTTATTAAATAAGAAGTTTATATTAGTTACGTGATATATATATTATTATATTTTAAATAATATAAGTTTTTTAAGCATTTTAAATGTCACATTTTGAATAATAGTTTTTTAGTATTTGAAATATCAAAAAAAAATTTTTTCTTATCTATAATTAAAGTTACTAAATGAAACCTAAAGGTTTTGCAAGTCATCTAAATGAAAATAGGTAAAATTTAACGAAATTATATTAAAATTTTATTAAAAATGTACAAAATTCTGAAAAAGATAAAACTCAAAACTTATATAAATGAAAAACTATATCAAAACCTTAATAAAAAATTAGTAAAACTATAATTTAGATATTTTGCTAAATTCAAAATGAATTTAGACAAATTACTTTAATAATGGTTGCCTAAATTATTTTTATCATAATTAAACTTTCACAAATTTTATGTTTGATTAAACTTTTGATTAAAGTCTAAACTTTAATTAAATTTTAACAATTGACTAAATAATTAAATTGCTTTATATGATATAAATTATAAATTTTTATTTATTTATCTTAATTAAAAAATATATTATTATTTAATATTTATTAATTTTAACTTAAATCTTTTTATTATTTATTATTAATTAATTATATAATTATGAAATATTATTAATTAACATCATAGATAATAATTATTTATTAGAAAATTTGCTAGAAAATTTGGATTCTGAGAATATTTTTAATTAAAATTAAGATCTTATTATATTTAATCTAATAATATCAAAAATTAAAATATAATAAAAATCAAAATTTTATTAAAATTTCTTAGAATTCAAATACCTGTGAATTTTTTAAATTTTATTTTATTAAATTTTTTTATGATTTTTAATTTTATTTAATCTTTATAGTAAAATAAATATTATCAAATATTATAAATTAAAATTAAAATTTATAAAAATTCCATGAAAATAAAATTTTGACATTTTAGCATTTTAATTATTAATATTAAATAGTTTTAATTTCATATATGACTAAATATTTCAGTTTATCTAGCATCATTAATTATTATTATTTGAATTATTATTTTAATTAGAAAGGATAAAAAAATATTCTTTATAAATCTTTAATAATATTATATTTTATTATTATTACCTTTGTTTTCATTTTATTAATTTAAAAGATAAAATAATATTCTATATTATCCAAAAGTATTTTCTTGATAAATTATATTATTATTTATATTATTCTTCATATAATACATAGATTTTTCATAAAGGTATTGTTTTAGTTAAGTATAATTTATTAGTAATATTTTTTAAACTTATTTCTATATTTGAGATTTAATAATTAAAATTGAAATAAAATAAGAAATAATATTAAAGAATAGAATAATTTATAATATTATTAAAATTGCTAATATTATTTCTAATTAAATCAATTATAAAAATTTAATATAGAAATTTTTAAAAACTTTTTTTAATTTTTTAAAAAACATTTTATGAAAAGTATAGATTAGTAAATATTTATATAATGAAATAAGCTATCATAAATAATAAGTTAAATTATTTTAACTTTAAACACAAAAAAAAGAAATAATTAATTGATTAATTGCTTATAATATTACTTTTTTAATAAATTAAAAAGATCAAAACTTTTGAAATTAATTAAAAAATAAAGAAATAGAATATTTTCTTATATTAAAATAGTAGAATAATATAATTATTAAGTTTTTTTATCTTTTTTATTATTCTAAATTTTAATAATTGAGAATATTTAGATATTTATAAAAAAGAAAGTTGCAAATTTAAATCTGTATTCAAATTTTTATTTATTTAAAATATACTTTTAAATGTATTTAAACAAAAAATTAACTTATACATTATAGTTGGATTTAGAACAAAATGCTATAAAGTATTTTAATTAATAATGAGCCTAATTACTTTGATTATATTTAATATTTATATTTTTATATTTTGAATATATATTAATATAAATTAAATAAAAAAAAGTTTATAATTTAAAATTTTTTATTAAAAATATAAAATTTATATAATTTATAATATTATTATATAAAATAAAATTTTACAATTTTGATTTACTAAAAATAGTTGAATTTATAATTAAATTTAGCTTAATTAATAGCTAAATTATTAAAAAAAATTTTATAAATTTAGAAAAATAAATAAAAAAAAAATCAAAAAATAATTTATTAAAAATTTAATTAAGATGATTTAATTAATAAATTATAAAACTTATGTATTTGTAAATAATTGAAATTTAAATACTTTTCAAATAAATTTAAAAGGAATATATATATACATTTATAAAATAAAATAAAATTATAAAAAAAAAAAAAAAAAAAAAAAAAAAATGCTATTATTTTTTTATTTATGTTTTTTAAATAAATAACTGCCAAATTTTTTGTTTGATGATTTTTAAAATAATTAATGTAAATTATTGAAATAAATTTTTCTAATTTCTAATTATATTATTTCTATTTTGAATCATGATTCGACATTTCCTGTAAAAGATCTAAAAAAAAAAAAAAATTTGAATAATAATTTAATATATAATAAATAATAAAAGAGATATATGTTTATTTAATAAAAAAATAAACTTACTATGCCAGTAATTACTTTGTAAATTATTTATTAACTGATCAGCAGTTTGATCATCCATTTCTGTATTAGCATCAATTGAATTCCAACTTTCTCTTAACAATTTTTCTTCTTCGATACTTATAAAAAATTTATAATTAATGATAAAGTTTTACGTCAAAAAGAAAAAATTTCAAACTACTTACATATCACTTGATATTCTTGAAGAATGTTCTCCGTAAACGTATCCAAGTGAAGTTCTTAACGCAAAATATTCTGAAATATGATCAGAATTAGTGGAATTAGGTGATCCAGGTGAATTGGAAGAACCGGACGATCCGGTTATTTGAGGTGATATTGGTGTACCAATAGAAGATATTGGGCTTGAAGCTTCTCTTAAGTTATTTATTTGTGAATTAATATTTAAACTCGTGTCAATTCTTAGATTTTGTGCATCAGAATCATTAACCATAATACGTGGGACTAAATTAAAAATAAAGAAATTTAAATGTGAAATAAATTTTTAATTTGAAAAAAGATAAAATATTATTATTATTAGTTTACCGTCAATACCTCCAACCATCTCACTCATTCTTTCACTCCTTAATCGTTCCTCTTGAATTGCTTTGAATTTTTTATGCCAATAAATTGTACGTAATAAAGATTTTACACGATCCTTATTTACGTTATCAATAACTTTTTCTAACTTTTCTTTACGTTTTATATACTCGTGAATCCTATATAGAAATATTATGGTAAATAATAAAAATAATAACTTAAATAAAATCCGTATTCGGGATTTAAAAATATTTAATCAAATTGAACTCACTCTAAGCATTTATCATCATTAATTAACTTATAATGAGCAAGCATTATAAGCATACTAGTGAATGAAATTCCCTTTTCATTTCCATTTGAATCTTTTTCAACTGATAATAATGCTTCCTATAATTCACAAAAAAAAAAAAAATAATTATTACCTTTAAAAATAAGTCTTATTGATTTTTTTTTTTTTTACTTACTTGATATAATTGATTATAAGTTTTTCTTCGCTTATACACTTGATTCAAATTAATTTTTGATAAACTATGTTCCAATTTTTTGATATCAAGATTTTCAACTTCAAGGTTACTTCTTTGCTTACTACTACCCCATAATTGCCCTGATTCTAAATGTTTAATAACACGAGTGTTTTTTATAAGGTTTGGAATAAGAAATTCATCTTGATAAATTCGTACTTGAAATGATCCTTCAAGTTTCTATGCAAAATAGAAGCAAATGTTAAAACATATAGCTTATAAAAATTTATATTAAGATTTTAAATTTTACCGAAAAGAATTTTGAAATTTCATTGCTTTTTATATATCCAGTTCTATCAAAATCGACTGATTTCCAAGCTTCTTTGAATGTAAATAATTAAATATTTGTTAAGGAATAAATTTTTTTTTTAAAAAAAAAAAAAACACAATAAAGCAAAAGAATTGTAATATATATTTAGAAAAAAGGATATTGTCTAATTTCATCGCGGTTAACTAATGAAAATTGTGCAGCAATTTGATAACAATATGAAAAATTATCTGTAACCACCACAATAAACATATTCGCGAAAATATACATTGATAATACATTCCAACTTATGAATAATATATATGCCCACATTTCACTTCCACAATCTGAATTATACAAGTTGTTGCTTGCTACACATTCTGGCGGTTCAACTGAAAAATCATGCATAATTGCATTCCAGCCTTCTCTAAATTAATGACATTATTAAAAAGAAAACCACAAAAATATTACTAATGATATAAAAAAGATATATTCGTACCCAGTTGACATTCTAATCAGTGTTATCATTGCGGTTGGGAACTGCCTAAAGTTTACATGTTCACCTCCATTTTTTCCATATTTTGTTAAACCAAATATTTCCATAAACATGATAGCATACACAACAAAAATGATAGACCAAACTGCAAATAAATTGAAAATTGATGGTAAACTTCCGCTAATAAAATAGGAATAGAATACCATAATACCATTAGTATTTACAATAATTTAATCAATCATTATTGCATGATTGGTCGATACTTACACCATATTTTTAAATAATTGATTCATCACATCGCTTTTCTGAAATAGTTTTAAGCAAATCAGCACTAAAAATATTTTTTGTAATTGAATCATTGCTTTATTTTCTTTCACTACCAAAATTGGGATTGTTGTTGCTGCAGCTCCAATAACCACGAGAAAATCAAATAAATTCCATTTATTTTGAAACACTTTCCATCCTAAACCAATGGCTTTGATAGAAAATTCCATCATATATATTATAATAAGAATAACAAAAAGGATTTCTACAAACATACATATGCATAAATAATGTTAATTAAATTATAAATAATAATAAAAAAATATGTAGCAAATACCTCTAATTTTATCCCAAATTGGTGGAGCACCCTTTGCTTCAGTCATCAACAATAAGATATGCAAAATATAAATGACACTCATGGTTTTTGAAAGTATTCCTCGCTTTTCTGTAGCATAATCAAAACAAAGAGCTCTAAAATTATTACTGGGCCGTTTCTTTGGAATCTTTGAGGGCGTAATCTGTTTCAATAATTTCTTCAAATCAATCCATCGTTTCTGATCAGCGGTCAGATAGGCCGTACCAGATTTCGATTGATAATTAGAAATGATTACACTTATAAATAATGTCAAAATGAACACAGAGCCCGCAAGATTAAAAATCATAAAAAACAATGCATTCCACTTAGAATGATCTTGTTCCGAATTAAAATCTCGTCTCACAATGTTCATAGATGTTACCATGACATCTATCCATCCTTCTCCTGAAATAATTTCAAATAATATAAGTAAAGCCGATTTAAAGTTATCAAAATTATATCCAAAAGGATTATCCCATACTCTTGGCATTAACACAGGAAAATTATAAATCTCATTCTTAAATTCATCTACGCATTGACTTTTTTCTATAATACCGTTTTCATTATTATCATTACAGGAAAAGAACAGTCCAGCAAAAATATTAACCCCATAAATTGCAAAAGGTATGACTAAACTTATAGAAAGCAAAGCGGCATCAATAATACGTGGAGCCCCCGCAATTAAAATAGAATAAAATGTATCTTTCACTGAGCTAGATAAATTAATCAATCGAAGTGCACGCAAAGCTTTAAATGCACGAACGGTTCTTGCAACGCCTCCAGTACTTGTTGCCGCAATTGAAATGTTAATGTAAAGTGTAATAAGCACAAAAAAATCTAATTGATTCCAAACATTAAGTAAATATGCATTTGGTGTTAAAAGAAATCCATCGGCAATTATTTTAATAAAGAATTCTACAGTAAAGATACCAGTAAATACAACATCTGTAATCCAAAACCATGTACTTCCTTTGTCACCATTTTGGTTGAAATATTCCTTTTGATATGACAGATTCGCATATGCGGCAAGAATAACACTTGCAATAATACATAAATAGATGAATACACTGAATACAAAACTCCATGTTTGTGAGGGTGGTGTACCATAAACACGATCATCATGACTAGATTGAACAAGAAGTTGACAGAATCTTCGAAATCGATTACGAGGTGATAAAAACCAAAGTGATGCATCATAATTTGGGTGAGCGGCCAAGAAATCAGCTTTGATAGCTTGACGTTCTTGAAAATCATCTAAAAATGCTTCCATAGGTTTATCAATAATAGGTTCACCAATGTCATTCGTTCCATGAACATCATCGAAATTTGAACCTCTTCTACTTCCAAGTAAAGGTGTTTTATTAATCTCTTCATTATAACCAAAATATCGTTTTAGACGAATTACAAAATTGGTTGAAGTTTTCTTATATTCATTCTCAATAAAATTCTTTTTTTCGGTAAAATTATCACTATCTGTCAAAAAATCCCTTACTCGGCTTTTTTGTGTATGCAAGATCAAATTAGATGGGATACTTTCTACAGCTAAAGCTTTTGGCTTGGCCTGGAAATATTTATAAAAATTCCATCTATCAATAACATCATCTTTCTTTTCAGTTGAATCAACATTACGTTTAAATTTTTGCAGCTGTATTTTATGTTTTTGTTCTTCGGCAATCTCAAAATTCTCCTGCAAGACAGCAATGAACATAGTCAACAGAATAACTATGATATTTTAAATAAAATTACAATATATAAGCATACATATATAAAATTAGAATTAGAATTAAGCTTAAGACTTACAGTTCGATAAGAATACATATATAATTAAGAATATAACAGCTATTATGGCAGTGCCATTACTTCCTTTTTCAGATTCAAACTGCATCGTATCATATAATACATTTGTCCAATCTTCGCCTGAAAATAACTGATACAAAAAATGAATAATAAAAAAATCGATACAAAAAAAATATATAGCAAAAAAAAAAAAAAAAAAAAAAAATCAGAATTACCTGATTTAGGGCCAAAAAACTATTAAAAATATCACTAAATCTCATTACTTCTTCGTTTGGAATAGACCCTCTTAACAATTGCACTCCCTATAAATATTAAACTTTTGTTAAGACAAAAGATTTCTTCAAAATTAATAATCCTATACGTTCATTGTTTGATACTTACAATTATGGCGGAAATGAAATTAACGATGAAAATAAACAACACTAGATTTGCAAATCCTGCTACGCTTCCTAAAACTCTGACCTGAATTCAATTTATAATTATTGGAAATAAACATATGTTTTTAAAGTAATAAATATATAAATAAATTTTGGGAACTTACCAATAAATTTCTTAATCTAGGAATTGCAATAATAACTCTATAAACTCTAAGAATTTGAAATAGAGTTAAATAAGGATAAGCTTCAGTTTCTTTAATAAAAGGTAGTTGTATAATACATGTTACAATAGATAATGTAAAATCAACAATATTCTTTGTAGATTGGAAAAATAAGTGATATTTTGGCAAATATGAAAATAATCTCAAAGCGATTTCAATCGCAAATACTATTGTAAAAATTAGTTCAGCTCGATCTAAAAGATGAAGAAATTAAATATATATATTTAATTGAAATATAACAAAATACTTTAATATGAATGAATAAATTACCCAAAATAATTTCTTTTTGAGGAGGCATAATAGAAGTTCGAAATGCCATTATAAATAAATCAACAAATATTAAAAAAACCCAAACATATTTGGTCTCGTCCATTCTACGAGTTAACCAACTTGTTTTTGTTGTCTGTCTTATATCTTGTAATGTCCAACCCTCCATATCATCAGATAAAACCGGTGTCGATCTTTAAATAAATTAAATAAAATAAAATTTTAATAAAAATCAAAATGTCATTCATACGACCAAAATTATGTATATATCTATTTATTTACTTGGACAGGGTGAAAGCAGAATGTGATGAATCTTCTCGAATTTTTGCAAACATTTTCGTAATCACAGCCACAAATAAATTAATTAACCAAAAATTTAAAATGATTACAGTCATGATAAAAAATACGCTCACGAAATCAAACTCTGAATCCATCACATTATACATAAGTTCTGTCCAATTTTGAACTAAAAGATTTAATAAAATATTTTTTTTTTTAGTTAGGAAATCATACTCGATTTTAGATGATCAACATATTTACGAAATAAAACTTACTTGTTGAAATAACAAAAACTAAAATCAAGGAAGAAAATACATTATCAAAAGATGCCAATCCGCCATAAGGATTTCCGACTTCCTCGCACATTTGACCAACGGGACAAATAAATCCTTTTCCACCAGGAGCAAATGAACCAGCTACTCTTGTTACTCCATCTTTGTCTATCCAACCTCCGCAATATTGATCATCATGTACAAAAGAATTTGATGAATTATTTATATCTATCCACACACATCTCCTAGAAAGTGATCCTTTAAATGATTGTACCCCAATTATACTTAATAATATAGAGAAAAATCCAATAAATGATGTCACATTAACCAACAACGGGGCGCTCTTTTTCAATGATTGCAGGATTGTGGCACTACCACTTGTAATAGCCAATAATCTGAAACTTCTTAAGGTTGAAGTTGCTTTAAATAAGAAGAAATGGTTAACTCCCAATAAAGTAATTAGCAAATCAATCCAATAAGATACTACTGCAAATAAATCAATTCTGTTAAAAGTATGCCTAAGGAAGGGTGTATTCATTGCAGACTTGTGTGCTATTACTCTTGAAACATATTGGTTTGAGGACTGTGAAAATTGTAAATCCATTGACGTTTCTCTCACATCATGCTTTGAACCATTTGGTGATATAGACGGATAATCTTTTGCTTTTTTAAATGGTGTCGTCTCTTGATTTATTAACAATCCTGATACTATAATACGTGCCAAAATTTCCAACCTAGAATAATAAATATCATAATTGACATATAAGTGAATATATCAAAAAAACTTAAGATTATCAACTTCTCTTACGTGTATATTGTATAAATTACTAATAGAGCATAGTCAATTCCTGATGATCCCCATTTTGTTCTACGCGGATTACTTTCTGTAACAGGGTCCCATGCATCGATAATTAATAACAAAATATTTGCTATTATGAGACCTAAAATTATTGATTCCGCCCATCTAATAAGATATCAAAGGGAAGAGGAAAGTAAAAAACCCAACGTTACGCAATAGATTTATTAATATAATATTACCTTACCGATGATTTAAAATTTCATATAAAGTGAGTCTGATTGGATTTGACGGTCCGAACATGTATAAAGAATTTCCTTCCAATGGAGATTGTGACTGTAATGTCTGAGCCAAACGAAGGTTACTACCATTAGATTGTCCTAATGAGGAATTCCTTGATTTATCTTGCGAAGGATAATTATCATCGGAAATAGAACTATTTTTATCAGGAAAACGATTACTTTTCCAACTTTTACGAATTGTAGATCTGGGTTGAACATTAAAGTCCACTTCTTCTTTTTCAAGTTGATCTTGTGAAGTATTAGACATATTTACAACACGGGTGGAAGCTCTTGCGAGTATATGACTCATTCTACTAAGACTTTTGGTATGCCTTAATTTGACTCGATTATTAGAATTCTTTCCGTACGATTCTTGAATTTCATTCGAAGATGATGACGCAATTGGCAAAGAAGTAGAAGAAGCAGAATGATCTAATAGTTGATCCACACGATTTTTTGTTAGTTTTGCCGTATCACTATCGTCGATATGATCAAATTCATCATCATCATCTTCATGATATCTTAATTCTAACTCACTAGTAAAACTTTCACGTCTTGGTACATCTGACATCTCAACCACATCATCATTGGGTAACATGTTGTTTCTTCTCCTATTCAAAAATGAAGGCATCCGAATTGGTTGTGAAGTTATTGGAGATTCATGAGCAAGAAAATCAACATCACGAAATAATTGATTTGAAGGATCTATAAATGTTCTTGAAGATACTAATGTAGGCCTTGTAGTGGGTGAGTTGTAATTGTGACCTAATGTACGACTTCGATTTAAATTAATTTCTCGTCCGTTATTATTATTATTATTATTATTATTATTATTATTATTGGTAGTATTATGATATCGAATTAAATCATGTGAAGAAGATATTGACCTGGATCTTCTACGAATTCCAAGGTCTATTGTTGGTAAAGAAATTGGTGAAACTGTGTTTGAACGTCCACGATAATTATTATTATTTGTATGAGGAAATGAGGGTTGCGTGTTACTTGGTTCGTCAATTGCGGACAGAGGAACTAATGGAACATCAGCTTGGATGTCATTACCTTCCATACGAAAGAAATTGACACAAAATAATCAAGTTTTTTTATTTTTTTTGAAAATAAATTTTGGTAATAATTAACGAGTGTAAAGTTATGTCAAGTTTTAAACTAGTTATGAAAATCATAACTGAATTGTAGCACTAATTTCAGGTTTAAAACACTTCAATACTATTTATAGCAAAAGCAATTTCCCGTCAATTATCCTGGTACCATTGATGAGCAAATTGATATGATTGGTGAAATCATTTGACCAATCAAATCTTACTATAAATAAGGGTTGATAAAAAAATTTTCGAAATCCTCCTCTCTAAACATCCCTTTTATTTAAAAATGGTAAGTTAAATTATTTCATCCATTAAAACATTGGTAAAGAAATTAAAGCAACCTTATCATTGACTCTTTAATGGATTAATAAAGGCATCAGAAAAAAATAAAAAATTAGATCAAAATTTTGTCACGATTAGCAAAGAGTGGGGTCGATAGGAAATTGCAAAGAAAATATAACAAAAAATTCTTTATTTGAGCGAATATATTCAACTAATTCATAACCATCGATACTATAGACAAAGGGTACCTCAAGTTTCGGTAAACGTCACACAAAAACCCACACTTTATGCCGCCGTTGTGGAAGGCGTGCCTTTCATAATCAAAAGAAAACCTGTGCACAGTGCGGATATCCCTCCGCAAAGACGAGAAGCTGTTAGTAAATTTATTTTTATTGAAAAGATAAATTTATTTTCGTATTTTGCATCATCGTTTAGATCAAATTCAAATTATCTCTCATTTTTTTTTTTTTTTAAAAAAAAAAAAATGTCTTAGATAACTGGAGCGAAAAAGGCAAACGCAGAAAGACAACAGGTACCGGTAGAATGCGGTATTTAAGACATGTCTCGCGACGTTTTAAGAATGGTTTTCGTGAAAGTAAATGATTTTTCTCAATTGCGTTGTTAATTGTATGATAGTTACCAAAGGTTTACAAAAAGTTATTCTAACAAATTTTATAATATATAGACACTCAAGCAAAGAAATCCATCAAATAAATAACATATGTATTTGAATTTCTAGTATTATTACAATTAAAGTTATGATTAACTAAAATATTTATAATTTTTAAAGTTTATCAATGATCTTTACATAAGTTAATGAAAAATACCTGATAATTTAATGTAATTAAACTTGTAAATTATAAAAGAAAATATTTACCTTGATTAAAAGTCACAACTGTGATTGTTCTACTAAATGAGTAAGGGAACATATGATTAAAGTTTGTAACGTTGGACTTGAATTCTTGCAAAGTTTGAGAAGGATGCATTATTTGAGGGAGTATTGGATGATAAAGGTAGTTCGATGAACACACTCATTCGAAAAAAAATAACGAGATTTCGTTTCCGTTAAGAATGAATTTTCTGTAAAAGCCCGTTAGATAAATGTCATGTGATTCATTAATCTAACACACATTCTAGTACTTTTCCATATATGATAATTCTAACACTAAATAAGATTTTTTAAGATCTGCATTTATACAAAAATTACAATTTAAATTACTGTCTTTAAACTTTTTAGTTCCGCATATTATTAAAGTCATGTTCGAACAGTTCAAAAAATTATCCTCAGCTATAAGCTTTAAAGACCTTATTGATACAACCGGGTAAGTGTTTATTTTCAAGTTATTTGGTTATATGCTCTTAATGTTTCGGGCGAAACCGTTTTTATGAGCGGAGAAACGTCTCACCTTTTAGAGATCCTAAACCCTATACATGTTACCTTACCTTCCGAGACTTTCAAATTTCGGTTTCGCTCAATCAAATTAATTCTTTTTATTATTTTGTCTGTTTGGTCGATTTTAAATTCGCAGCCTTAATGAAGGTGAATTCAAAAATTTTACCAGAGAAGGGTATATCTTTTTTTTTTTTAAAAAAAAAAAAAATTATTGATCCCTCGCACTTTATACATAAGATTGAATTTAATTATAGGGCCTTATTAAATTTTAATTAAAAGACTTCAGGTTGTTCGTAGCGAATGGGAAAATATACGTACAAAATCAGCCGAGATTCTTACCCCAGCATTGAGTCCGCGAATAGGCGCGTTATCACCAAGGCTACCTACGATCGGTAGTTCAAGGTTCTACGATTTTAAATGATTTACTTTATTTACTTTCAATTTCGATTCTTTTTCTTTCACCCCCATTGGTATTGATGTTGCTTTATATCATATTATTAGCAAATCACGTGCCATAACAAGACTAGATATACCGGCAACTACTGAACTTGCAATAAGGTAATTTATTTTATGATTTCCTGCATTACTATATGTGTTTAACGACCTTTATTCAATGCTTTAGATACGAGAATGAGTTAAATGTAATAAAAACTGCGAATGAAAATAATTTTCGTAACTCTGCTGTAAGTCAAGTTATTTAACTTAATAGCTCATTATTTATATTTTTATTAATTTACTTTTGAAATGATTTTGTTTTAGTTAATTGATGAACTTGTGCAGCAAATGTTGAAAAAATGTGAGAATCATTATCAAACATGCGAGCTAGTCAAATCAGAAACGAGCCAATTACCTAAGGTAAAAGAGGTGATTGATGAAATGACTTATTCTGCAAGTAAGATACTCTCTTCACTCACTCTTTCTAATATGAGAAAGTCTCAATGATCAAATTTTTTTTTTAAATTTTTTTTTTTAAAAAAAAAAAAGTTTCACTAAAAGGAAAACTGACCGAATTGGAGAAAATGATAGATGATTATGCAAAAATGAATGAAGAGAAATCTTTTGAAGATTGGAAAAAATCCGAACTTCTTGCACTTAATAAACATTTTGAGGAAAAAAAGTAATTAGTCATGTAAAATTTACAATAATATTTTTTTTAAATATTTTATTCATCAAATTATTTTGTTTATTAAGTGCGGAATTAGACGAAAAGAAAATTATGTATCAACAACATTACGAGGAATTTAAAGATAATCATACAAGTGAAAAAGTGCAATCATATCAGGCTGATTTTGAAATACAAATGGAAAATTATAGGAAGCGGATAATAACTACTACTGTATTATGCAATGGTAGGTTTTGTTTCACACTTAACTTTAGGACGTTTTCCAAAATTTTATTAAATATAATTTATTTCTTAGAACATTCGACAAATATATCAGATGAAGATTTGATAGCCAGTTTAGAACAAGTTGAATTGGAAACTGAAGATGATCGAGAGGCGTTAGAAAACTTTCTTGGCGCTGAAGATAATATTGAACAATAACGATTATAAGATAAACCCCATTAAGTATAAATCGGAATGGTAACCCATTTCTTAGAACTTTGCTTCAAGGGCCAAACATTTACCTGACGAGCAACTCTTAAATCACAATTTGATTTATTACTAATTTATATGAATCAATTTAATTTACATCACAAGAAATTCTTCCCTTTTTATCACATGCTTTGTGAAATGTAGAAATTGTCCAAGGTACGGTTAAATTTTGTAAATTTTTTGTTTCTTATATTATAAAATCAAAAGGATTATATGTCAACACCTTATTTACCAATATAACTGGTTGAATTTGACGACTTCACGAACAAAAGTTTTGATTTTTGACTGATGTTCGCAATAAAGTATCTTTGGAAGTAAGGGATGTCCGATTTTTACGTCAGGTTGATTTATTTATTTATTTATTTTTTGAGAGTCTGAGAAACAGCATTTAAAAACTCGGTAATTTTTCCTTCGTTCAATTAAATTATTTTCATATTATACCAAAGGAGGACTTATTATGTTATAGTATAGCAACTATAAAGGATATGCAGATGTGGTTTTCTTTTTAAGAAAACATAACAGGAAGATAAAATAAAGAGAATGATTAATAAATGATTTTTATACCAATGAATTATTCAGGATATTTATTTATTTTATTGTAAAAATAAAAATATTATATTATAAGAATATCTTAAAATGCAATCAATTAATTGTCAATGTGACAATTCTAAAAGAAATATTAATATTTGATTCAAAAGTTGCTTTTAAACTTTACATTCATTTTAAATAATAATATTTTGAAGAAACTATTAATAAAGGTGGTTATTTTTTAGTGACTATAAAAAAATTTTTTTTTTATTTAATGAAAAAATATAATTTTTTCCAAGAATTCCCTTTTAATTAAGTATATTAGTGTGTGTGTAGAAATTATTATAAAAATCATATACTGTGGCGCAAAAAAAAATTTTTAGTGCGGAATTTTCATTTATATATATATATAAAAAAAAAATTTTTTTTAACAGCTGATTTGTGCGGAAATTTTTCGTCATTGCTAAAATCACACCACTGTTTGTCAAGGGTAGATAGAAAACCGATACGGTACGATTCGCCAGACCAGTACGGTACGATTATGCAGATCAGTATTTTTCGCGAATTTGAATCGTACCGTACC